TCCCTGACACAAACAAAATTACGAATCTGACCCTAAGACACGACTATACAACCTCGCAGTCAGATCTCGGCAGCAGAAATCAGCAAGTCATTGCACAGACTTAGACTTGGAATGCTGAGCAATCAAATAAAAGGACAGCATTTTCTCAGAAAAGAGCAGAACTCTCAGACTGCAACTGTGTGGGTACTTGCAGATGAAACTAGTACAACCTCACACAAAATACTGAGGGCACACTCACACTAGAGCTTTTTTGACAGAGCGTGGGGCGTAATTATGGTCAGATACATATCCAGTCCCGTTGGAATTACAGTCAGATGTGTCCTGGAAAGTGCTAATGTGGGTATGCTCAGATAGTTCACACAGCAGACTTTTGTGAGGCCAGAACCAATGCAAACTCTCCAGTCACTGCCACCTCATCACATGTCTAAGACAGCCAAGGGGAGGGGGAGAGGGGGAGGAGGAGGGAGAAGGTTTTTGCAAAACAGAAAGAAAAAGTGATGGACAGAAATCGTCTCTTTATGTTTGAAAGGACAAATCAACACTATCAGAATGCACCTGGGTCTCTGCACATCCAGGTGCAGATCATGCACTCAAGAGTCTGTACATCTGGGGGGTGCATTCAAACAGGGCTAGTTTTTGCATTTGCAAACTTGAGCAGGCTGTTGCTGTACTTTTTCAGTGTTTCTCCCCCCAAAAAAGAAGTGTGCAAGCATGTACCTACCTCAAGAAACTCCTCCCTTGTACCGCTGGATCCATCGAGTTTTCCTCCCAAAATGTAGTCACACACATATCTTGCCTGTCACCACACAATCGAAAAGATCACAACAGGTCTTAGAGTCAGGGCCTAGGTTACCAAACTTCCCATCAAATCAGTTCACAACTTCACATCATGTTTTCCAGTGGGGAATCATGTGCCTCGATTTTGGTGGAGGGTCTGCACTAAATTGCTGCAAGGACCCTTCAGATTACCTGCATGGGCCCTCTGATACGTGTGAAGGGGATCCGTTGCTCTCTCTCTCTCTCTCTCTCTCTCTCTCTCTCTCTCTCTCTCTCTCTCTCCCCCCCCCC